CTGCCCAGCCCAGCCAGAACCCGCTCCGGCGTAACCCGAGTCCGCGTGGAACCTACCCCGACCGAGCCCCAACATGCGTTGGCCGCCCGCGCCTTCAGCGAGTTTCGACCGAGCTCCTCCCCCCCTCTGCGCACTTAAACAATCCTTCATCTGCCATCCAAGCCATTAGACAAAAAATCTACTAATTTCTTCATATTTTTTTTTTATTTAACTTAAAACAACAAATAAATCTTAAAGTATTTTTTTTTAACAATGAATTCTTAAAGATAAAAATATAATTTAATTTAAAAAAAATTATATATTAGTTAATCTTAATTTTAATAATAAATTTTAATTATTTAACTTAATTTATAAAATAATTAATTATAATTTTATATAATTTAAGTTTAAATTAATCATTTAATTTTTTTTATTAATTATTAAATGATAATTTATTTTATTTTATTATAGTTTAAGTTATTAATTCTAAAATTTAAGTAATTAATTTTATTTTTTAAGTTATTTTTAAAAATATAAGATATTTAATTGACAATAAGTTATTAAATTTACAACTTTTTTTTTTCGTGCGAAAATCCATCGAATTCCGCCGGAAAAAAATTCGTCGGAAACCATTCAAAAAATTTGTCGGAAATTCGTCAACAATTTTCCGTCGGAAATCCGCCGGAAAATCCGTTGGAATTTGTGACGAATTTTTTTCCGTTGGAAATGAGCTGTTTTCCTGTAGTGAGTTTTTACTCGAGCAAAACTTCTACCGATTGTCGTTCTTTCGCCATACATCTATCCTATCATGGATTTATATCCATTGTTGGACTTCTACCTGACACCATTCTTTTAATATTTATCGTCAAATAATGGTCCTTCTGACTTACGTCGCCCACCGACTACAGTCCTTCTGACCTTCGTCGCCCGCTAATTACGATCCTCCTGACTTACGTCGCCCACTAACTACAGTCCATTCGACATCTGTCGCCCATCGAAAATGGTCTTGTTGACTTACGTCGCCCACCGACTATAGTCCTTTCAACCTCCGTCGCCCGCCGACTAGAATCCTTCTGACTTACGTCGCCCACTGACTACAGTCCTTCCGACCTCCGTTGCCCGCCGACTACAGTCATGCTGACTTACGTCGTTCACCGATTATAGTCCTTCCAACCTCCGTCGCCCGAGACTATGGTCCTCCTGACTTACGCCCAATGACTACAGTCCTTCCGACCACTGTCGCCCGCTGACAACGATCCTGCTGACTTACGTCGCCCATCAACTACAGTCCTTCCGATCACCTCCGTTCCCCGCGGACTACGATCCTCCTGACTTACGTCGCCCACTGACTACAGTGCTTCCGACGTCTGTCACCCGCCGACTATGATCCTGCTGACTTATGTCGTTCACCGATTACAGTCCTTCCAACCTCCATCGCCAGCCGACTACAATCCTCCTGACTTACTTCACCCACCAACTATAGTCCTTTCGATCTCCGTCGCCAGACAATGGTCTTTATGACCTCCGTCGCCCACCGACTATGATTCTTCTGACCTCTGTCACCAGACTATGGTCCTTCTGAACAAACGAACACGTCAACAGTGAATCTTTGTATTCCTACCATGTAATGTACTCAATATGATGTACATCAAACCAAGGACTTCCCCCAAGGAAGGGCCTCATTTGTAATATACTGCAATACTAGTGGATTCATTCAAACTGGGCTGGTCCCCATGGGTTTTCCCACTTTTCAGGGGTTTTCCACGTAAAAAATTTGGTGTCTCGAGTGAATTAATGATGCACCCGCTCTTTTTATATGTGTGTGTGCTGAATTTTCGTACAACGCTAAGACATTAAAATTTATATTTCTATACCACTGCAAATACTCCAGGATGCAACAATAATATTTATACAATTATAAATAAATAAAATATATAGCATATATTTGATAATAAATAATTAATTATAACATTTATTTTTAAAATTAAAGTTGATAGATCATACAATGATCAACTCCTACTCCATCAAGACAATTATTTGGATTGCTAGCTCCTCTAAAATCAAGGCAAACTCAGCACTATATTGGCATTGCAACACCAAAAACACCTCCATGAATCTCATCTTGTTGGTTTGATTACCAAAAAATTTGGTAAATTTTGATATCTTTCCTTTTTTGTTCTTATGTTGGTAAATTGTCTATTACATCTAGAAACAAGAATTTGTTTTCATGTTGTGTTGTAATTCTATTAAACTTGCAATTAGTCTATGTAGTGAACCCTACTTTTAAAGTCAAGCTAGTACCTAGCTTAGGCTTATCCTTCCTAGGATTACTTGAGAATGACAGAATTTGAGAGGGTGCAACCCACTAATAAAGGAGTATGAAATATATTGGATAACGTTTTAAAATCATAAGAGCTTGGAATTTACTTCTCTCTTTTCAGGGTTCATTTGAGACAATATTCTTATTATTTTGCTTCTCAAATAGCAACCATAGTTCTGTTTGGCTACTACTTTCTTATTATTTTAAGAAATTTTTTATTCTTGAGGTTTCTTTTATACAATAGCTTTCCAAAAAATTATTTTCCTCATAACAATTTTACAACCACCTTGACAAAAAAGTTACAATCATCTCAAATAAGCCCTTTGTTGATTTACTTGTAAGAGTGCAATTGATTTAATTTACCTCTATGTAATTGTTTAAGTATTGTATAAGACTTCATTCTAGAATACATTAAGAAATTTGAATTAATTAAGTGTAATTTAAAAAGAAAACAATTAGTTGCATATGATATTATTATTTCTCATTATCATGTAACCTAAATCTATTATAATGGATCAATTTAAAGGTATTAATAAGGCTATAGAAGAACACATCCTTATTTATTTTAAATGCATAATCTATGGATAATCATTCAATGTGATAAAACATATTATGTTGATAGTTATGTTAGAAAAAAAATTATGTTTCTCTTATAGTATTTTTATCAGCCTACATATAACCTAAATTCAACATTAATTTTTTTAATGTGCTATGATACTTATATTTATACTAAAATAAAAATAATCTAAATTGAATACTAAATTTGTGTTAAGCTAAAATACAACCTAAGCTTTTGTTAACCTAAATCAAATATTTAAAAATATATGCATGAACGAAGAGCAAGAAATCACTATTTATGGTAATCACGTTTATTATGTATGTGATCTACTACCACTACCCCTTAGCTCACCCTAGCTTTCCCTCTCATCGCAACCTCTGTTCTCTCATTTGCATTTAGGACATCAACCTCGCTTCTTTGTTAGATATCTATCGAGTAACCCCATTAGCACCAACGCCTCTTGTTGTTGGTCTCCTCCCTCTTCTCATAGCATGTGATAGCTTGGGCTATTTCCATTACCAAATTATTTTGAAATTATATAGCTATGTATGTGCAATATGTGCCCTCTAGATCTTCCCATATTGTCCTTGGTGGTTTCCATCTTAAATGATGTTTTGTCTTATTTATGTAACTCCTCCAACCTCCTCTACCTATACCTTAGAGCCCTCCCTCCTTTTTTTATTCCTTCAAATCTACATGATCAATCTCTCTCTAGTTGATGTCCTAGTTACATTGGGGAGGGGGTCAACATTCTTTCATATTGTTTGGGTCTCCTTAAACTTACTTATCCGACAATCATATATTTGCCTTGTGTTGTTGCTCCCCTCCCATCAATTGCCTTATATCTCATAGGGTCTAATGGTTGCTTGCCATGACCAAGTGTAGTGCCAGTTTCTTCATATTTGACTTCTTATCCACCTATAAAATCATTTCTTGTTGATGTAGGTATGATGGTACTGTCTAATTGCCCTCATGTTGTTGGTATCAAGTTCCTTACTTTTTTTTTAAAGATTTTTTTTTTTCACATTTTATCTTTTTTTATATCATGAGTGCTAGCCTTATCTTATTATTTTATGCATAAATTGATTGCCCAAATTTATTGAATGTTTTACATGAGGATTAGCAAACAATCTTCAAATTTTAATATTTATACTAAATGTCTAATCACTTTAGTTTGGATATAATATCAATATCTTCATACTCACCTTTTAGATTAGATTATTCTCTTTACACCCATCTTTATCTTGGCAAATCATTACACATATATTCCTATTGTTTTTCTATTGAGAGCTTTTATTGCTAGAGTTCTTGTTAAAGTAGATACTACATAGCAAATATAAGAACTAGCTCAAGGAAAATGATTACATGCATGCAAAGAATGGTGATTGAAAAAAAAATCAAAATTTTGCACTTATTGTCAATTATTTGGGCAGGAGGTTTCATATAAACCCTTTAAAATGTAAATCAAATAATAATTTTACCTATAAAGAGTTCATCTTTAGTACAATTATGACAGATCCTCCAAATGTTTCTAACTAACATCATCACTTATGTCTTTTCCTTCATTGCCTTCAAGTCAGTCTCATACTATTGTGATTCAAGCTTCGTTTGGGATGACTTTTTTATTGCTTCATAAAGGTGCTTTCTAATACAAAAATTAAAATTTTATACTAAAAAACTACTTTAAGAAGCAATAAAAAAGTCGTCTTAAACGTAGCCTCAATCTTTAGATCTGCAAAGTCAAACTAATTCTAGTTATTGTGTTGGCCAAGTTATTCCTAATCAAATTATGGCTCCCTTATTTCACTGGAGGCTTTACAAATGCTTTATATATTAGTAGCCTTTTAACCAATTTTACAAGTAATTGCGACAAAAAATTATCTGTCATTAATGTCATAACAAAGAGCAAGTAAAGCACTATTTTTTGCAAAAAAATAAAAAATTGCTTTGCAACAAATGAAATTATGTCGCAATTAAAATAGTACCTTTTTCTTTAGCAATTGAATCAAAAGCATATTTACTACACTAAATTTCATAAAAAAAAAAAAAAAATTAAAGGGAACCTGTTTACTTGACTCCCTCCCTCTCTTTATAAATACGAAGCAAGAAGAAATCCTCATTCATCTTTTCAAAGCACAAATTCATATTCATCTTCTCCACTCTTCCACACCCTCCCCATCATCTCTCTCCATTAATGGCCTTTCTTGATCTCTACCTCAACAAAGCACTCGTCTTTCCACGAGAACCCTCAGTCAAATTCCCGCGAGACCATCCCCATCTCTTCAACCTCTCCGACAACCTCGCCTTCTTCTCCCGCTTCCCCCTCCTCCCTACCACCAAACCAAAGGTCCTCTTCGTCCTCGGCTCGTCCGGCACCGGCAAGTCGAAGCTCGCGGTAAGCCTCGCCCTCCGCTTCGCCGGCGAGGTAATCAACTCCGACAAGATGCAAGTGTACGACGGCCTCCACGTTATTACAAACAAAGTCACCGCTGATGAATGCGCCGGGGTTCCCCACCACCTCCTCGGTGGGGTCCACCCCGATGCCGACTTCTCTGCCGCTGAATTCTGCTGCCTCGCCACCAAAATCGCCGATGAAATCGTGGCGCGTGGGCACCTCCCGATCATTGCCGGCGGGTCCAACTCATATATAAAGAAGCTGATCGGCGTCGACGGTGGGAACTTTTCCCGCCGGTACGATTGCTGCTTTATTTGGGTCGACGTAGACCTGACCGTGTTGGACGAGTTCGTCGCCGAGCGGGTGGATAAAATGGTGGAGAAGGGATTGTTGGAGGAGGCAAGAGGCATATTTGACTCCGCGGCAGATTATACTAAGGGGGTGAGAAGATCGATAGGGCTGCCGGAGTTGGATAAATATTTCCGGCGAGAGGCTGAGGTTGATGAGGCGGAGAGAACCGCGATGCTCGAGGAAGCGTTTGGGGAGATAAAGGCGAATACTTGCAGGCTGACGCGGGTGCAGAGGGAGAAGATAAGGAGGTTTGAGGTGGAAGATGGGTGGAGGCTGCACCGGATGGATGCGACGGCAGCGGTGGTCCGCCGGAGAGAGCTGTGTGGAGGGATGGTGTGGGAGGAGACGGTGGTGGGCCCGAGCATTGAAACGGTGAGGAGGTTCGTTGGAGGAGCTGCCGCTGGGTTTGTGAGCAAGCGCAGCCGTATGGTCGCCGTCGCGATGGATACTGTAGTTGTGGGGACCACTTAAGTGAGTTTTGGCTGACATGTGGCATGATTTGCGGCGCTTTGGTTGACGTTCAAATTTGTGCCTATGGAGTTTTGACTGATCGTTTGACAATAAATAAAATAAAAAAATAAAAAACAAATAAGTTTGAGAAATAATTTAATTACTCAAATTTTCAACGTTAAATAAATATATAATTAATAAAAATATAGTGCATTTAAATGAGAAATATTTCTATTTTTTATTTGGGATTGTTTGTTTTTTTTTCCCCCTTAAGTTTTGTTTTTTAAATAACAAGTGCAATTTTATATGGTAGAAGCTTTATAAATTTTTTTTTTCAAACTTTTAATGATGAGAAGGAATTTGTTATAATTAAATTTATCACATTCTGGCAGCTAATAAAAATTTAATGCCTAGTTTTTTACAAAATAAAAAAAATATATCACCTAGGGTGTCAAAAGTTTACACAATATAAACTCGACCGGACCCAACCTAAAAAATTAGGATTCAGGTTGACTGGAAAACTTGAAGATGACCAATGTGACCCATATCTCGTCCTACCGCAGACTCATGTCCAGCCTCCGTCGCATCACACTATATGATATATATTGAAAGAATAACAAGTGTCTTTCAAATATTTAACTAGAGCTTCAGAATGAACAGCAGGAAATAATGGCTCTCTCTCTCTCTATACCAGGATCGGCAGTAATAGCCTCTCGCCTCATTTACTCTAACCTGGCATGTGGCGGTTGAGGTCCTTGGCTCTATCGATGCATCATATATATGTAGTTCCCATCTCTTCATACTATATGTTTCTTATAAGACTCGCATAGTACAAGATATAAAAAAGAATTAAATGCTTAAATCATTATATAATATTATATATATATATATATATATGCTGATTATCAATATCAGTTTATCATTCTATAATTCATCACATCTCAATCCATTACATCATCAATCACAGTATCAGTAACAATCAACAGTACTAATGTCAGCAACAATATTGTTATCATGATCAATAATATTAAATAGTATTAACGATATAAAATAATATTAGTGTCAGTCACAATATCAGTATGGTGTTCGTAATAGTATCAATATATCAGTATTCAAATATATAATGAGTATCTTGCTCATGCACTTATAACTCCCAATCATTTGCCCCTTATTAACTCCCAATCAATATAATCCTTATAACTCCCCTTGAATAACGTGAATCAGTTGCCTCGACTTCTTATAACTCTCATTCAATGAATTACGTTGATTAGTAGGATATCACAAGGACTTATCATATTGTGTATCTGATGACATTTAGTATTTCATTTAAAATATAATAAAATCACATCAAATTGTTTATAATGATAAAAAATCTATAACATATCCAAATTTACACAACAAAAGCTCATGAAATCAAAAGATAATGTATTTTTTACAAATATAGGAGAAATAAAATATGTAGAAATCAAAATAATTAAAAAACATAAGTAAGAGACTAATCACTTAAAATAAATATAAAAAAATTTATAACATGATTAATGATAAATATGATCCAAAGGATTTTCTTTCCTCTCTCTTCATATATATATATACTGTCATGGCCTAGCGCCCCTAGCACCACAGCACTCATCAGATCAGTGCTGAAACACTCTACTTCAAATTTTTCATATTAAAAAAAAAATTATTTCACATATTTGAATAATTACATGACGTCCTTGCAACTGCCTTGCTACTAATTCTTGGATCTTCTTCCTCTTCCTCGTATTCTCCAGCAACTACATCACTGTACAAAGACATAACGATCGTTGGCTCGCCAGCTTCCGGCTGCTTGAGATAGATCTCCCGTCTATGTATGGTAGAGTCCTTGTCAAGAGAGCATGTGGAAGAGGAGACTGTCCTTGTCAAGAGAGCAGGTTTAGCGTTGAAGGCTGGACCTGCTGGTGGAGAACATTTTCCAATGAAAGACACAATGAAGCTAGAATAAGAGGAACGAAATGAATTGTGGAAGCTACACAACTCTTCTTGGCCTATTGGTTGAGAGCTTAGGCTTCCAACTAAGAGGTTTTGGGTTCGAGTATTTGTGTATGCGTTGTGTGTGTGAGTTTGCCTTAAATGACCTAAATGTCCCCAAAAAAAAAATTGTGGAAGCTGTGACATGACCGGGTGAGCGGACTTCATGGTTTTTTCATTTGTGTTCGTTAGCGTCTGGCCCGGTTCAATTTGGGTTGCATCTGAACCCAATCCATTGATCAATTTTGGCACCCTTACTATCACCTGTATCCTTAAATTTTTTTTTTTTACATTTATTTCATTGAAATTTTAATAAATAATTCTAGTATCTCCTTTGTGTTGAAATATATGAATGAAAAGTATTACAATAAAAAAATTAAAAGTGCAATTTTCATGCATAAGAAAATTTAAATAATAAGAAGTTGTTAGGTTTGTTGAAATACAAATGTAGAGTAAAATAAAATATAATATAAAAAGAATATAATTCATTTGAAATATTTATAGATATTTTGATAAGTGTGAATATTTTTTTACTTAAAGTAAAATGAATGTATTAGTGTAAAGCCCAATGATGGTGATGGTCCGCAATGATGGGAGGCATTCAACACTAAAGATGGGTGGGCATTGCAGTCAGTGTTGGACGATGATAGCAAGCAGTGGAAGGCGATGGTGGCAGCCTCCAACGCTTACTGGTGATCGACGACTGGCATTGGGTGATGACTGATGACAATAGTAGGGTTAGCTCATAGTGTATTTTGAAATTTCACTAAAAAATGAATTTATAATACACTAAAAATAAACCATAACTTGAAAAAAAAAAGCCAAAACTTTAATATGCATTTCTATTTTATCAAATCAAATAAAAAATTTTGTAAATCTCCTTCATTTTAAATATTTTATATTCCTTTTTTTAGCTAACCAAACAACCCCTAAATTCATATATAATGCACAAAAAGAGTTTTAAATGTATAATACACTGAAATACTTAATTTTGCATGTGCATAATTTCTTGACTTGTTGCAGAATTTCTTAAGAATAAAACATTCATCTTTTTAAAAATTATACTCATTTTAATATATTTAATCTCATTCTGTAAAATCTATAAATAAATTATTCAGATTTGGTAACCGCACCTTACAATTACCTGTGGGGCTAAGACTTCGTTTGGGGTGACTTTCTTTGCTTCTAAGGCAGATTTTTAATATAAAAAGCTGCTTAAATAAGAAACAATAAGAAAGTCGTCCCAAATCAATTCTAAAATTTGGAGTACGGAGAGATTATTCTGTATGGACGCCGAATGCAATTCACTGTCCGGAGACCAACTAGAATGTGCCACGTCAGCGGTATCGAGCCAGGTACCGAGCAGGGGGTGACGTGGCGCATTCTGGTTAGTCAAGAGGTTATTCTGTGTGGACGCCGAATGCAATTCACTGTATGGAGACCAACTAGAATGTGCCACGTTAGCGGTACCGAGCAGGGGGTGACGTGACGCATTCTGATTGGTCTCCGGACAACATTCGACGTCCACACAGAATAATTTCGCCCAGAAGTACGTGGCCGGCCGGAGCTTCCATGGGAGCATTAATTTAGAAGAAATTATCACCTGGGAATCACATAATTTTATATTACGCCTTTTCTATGCTCGATTGGGGGTAAAAAGGATGAATTAACAAGGAATAATGGAGAAACTGGAGGGGGAGGGAAGTGGAGATGGGAATCCTCTTTTAAGCTTCTGTTCTTTGTTTATTATTTATAAAGAGGTAATCTGCTACCTGAATATTTACAATATGCGCGAACGGTAAGCAAAATAACATTGTTAATGTTAGATCTGATTGATACAATGTTAGATCTGATTGATAAAATATTGTTGATGTAATTAGTTGTTGTTCTTAGTGAGCTTTAGCAATGGATAAAGGAAGGAAGCAAGCTATGGTAAGCATATTAGATCAGATGTGTTACACGTGTTAGATTCAAATCTGTTCATGAGCGATATCAAATTTGAGCTGAATTCGAACAAAGAGAGAGAAACTTTAAAAATTTTATTTTAATTTTGATGTAAGAATATTCTAGATTGGTGTGACACGAGTATGTGATAATATACGTACTAGAGAATCTTTGACGTTTTATTTATAGGTTCAATTTAGGCTTCGTTTGAGACGAATTTTTATTACATCCAGTGAACGTACGCTCCTCTACGTTCGGTTTTAGATCAAAACAGCGCAATACCGAGTTTTTTTAAAAAACTCGGTACTCGGTATTGCGCTTTTTTTGCCTAGATCCGAACGTAGAGGAGCGTACGTTCACTGGATAAAATAAAAGTTCGTTTGAGACAGCTTTTTTAATGCTTTCTAAAACATCTTTTTAGTTAAAAAATTTTCTTGAATTATAAATTTTTGTGCTAAAAAGCTGTTTTAGAAAGCAATGAAAAGACTGTCCTAAACGAAACATAATTAGGAAAGTCAAACGTCTTAATTATGTAATGCCTATTTAAACATTTAGTCATAATAGCTTTAATTTATGGAAGCCACTCATTTATTTAAGAGACCTCAAGAAGTGGCTCAATATACTAATAACTTAACATAATCAGGATAAGCATGAAAACACCTTTTGTGTCAGTCACAAATTAGTGAGAGTTGACGTCAATTACACGGTGTCGTATCGGAGGCGTATCCGTATCCGATACAGCATGCCTCATAAATAGGCATATCCGTGCAACATAGATTACACCCATATTGAGAACTACTTAACATTATTGATATTCACAAAGAAAATACTTCAACATTACATGTTAGACCAAAATCACTCTTTTGCTTTAATTTTGAATGTTAAGTACTCCAACCCTAATAGAATGCTTGGCTAGATGGGTGATGCTGCTCTTATAATATTATATCACCTAATGTTGAAGCATTTTCAGATTATGGTCTTCATGAAAAAAAAAAAATTTATTGTCTGATCATATATTGTTTGATCCACTAATTTATAGTTATACAATACACAATAGTATTTATTGAGTTAAAAATCTAATTTAGAGACTAATTTCTTTATTGTAATAATGAACAAATACCTAAGTTCTCAAATAGATTAGTTTCTT